AGTTTATAACAAGTTAAATAGCCATGAACAAATGTTTGGTAGTTTGAAAGAAAATAAGGAAGCACGAACCACGTCTTCCTTGAGTTGATATCACCCGTAGAAAGGTGCAGGTAGCAAGCCCTAGCTTCAACCGGAAAATGGCGAGGCCCCCGAAGGAGTCAGTACAAGTACCGAGCGAGTAGCAGGCAACCGGTCAACCGGTAAATAATAACAACCGGTGTCAGATACCCCATGGTCAACCGGTCAACGTTTCGTTGACCGCCATTTCAAGTCTTATTCATGTCAACTTAATCACCACGTGTGCTAAATCAATAACATCCATTTTATGTTTCTTTTATCCTTCAAGCATAGCATACATTTTCATAGCAATTCTCATATCATATTTCATGCATATTCAAATAATTCATATCATACAAGCCTAACCATTTTGGCTAATCACATGTTTAAATATCTTTTAAACATCATTATGAATACATATAACATTTATTTAGGTAATCTCATAATTAACCCTAGAGTTGTAAGACATTAAGCCGTCCACTCACCTCAAATGAGCTTTAGCGCGTTCTACCCTCGGTTGAACTCCGGCGAAACTTCGGCGAACTTTGTCTAACTCCGGCGATTACTCCGGTGACTCTTTCAACTCCGTGAAATCTCTATGAATACCTTAGACAAGTTTCTAACAAGGTTTTAACATCACAAAACCTAAATCAACACAAATAACCTCTAAAAGGTTATTTTCCGGCGAACTGGTCGTTTTGGTTCTAAGTCCGTTCTTGGACATAAGACCACTTCCCAACTCTTTATTCTACATTTCTAAATATGTAGAGCTACTCTAATGGTTCCTCATATGCTATACAAGTCATATGGTAGTTAAAGAATGAAGGAAAAATTATTAAAAGGTCATTACCTTATTCCACCTTACTTTTCCTCAAACTTTCCCCGTGAACCTTCTTGAGCTCGGGCTTGTTCTTGGCTATGGAGAGTGATATTTTCTGGGATTTCCTTCTTCTGTTTGTGAGTATGGCCGAATGATTAAGGGAGCAAGAGGGTGGGTGTTACTTTTTGTCTCAATAGTAAGAGAGTGGTGTGGGGGAGGTCCACCTTATTTTGTTTGATGCCTTTCCTTTCATTTCACACTCCTCTTCCATGTTCCTCTATCACACCAACCGACCAACTCCCTTATTTGTGTGACTAAATTCGTGGGTTGGCCCCCACTCATGTGGGAGGTCACCCCTTTAAGTCCAGAAGTGTATAATTGGCCCCGAAAGTTGTATTTCTCGGACCGTTTTAATTATATTTTATTTTATCGGGTGAAATAAAATATATTACATGTTCTCAATCACAACGGGCCTTTAGAATGAATATACATTCCCCAACTTTAATTTAGAAGTCTCCGAAATTCATTTCAGGCTGTTATCTGTTAAATTACAAATACCGGTAATTGGGCCTCGTTTGACCAATCGATCAACCCTAGGCCTTTGTATGACCCAAATAAAATAGCCCCCGCTCCCGATGTGGGTCCCGCGTGCAATTTACTTATTTACGCAAAAGAAGTAATAAAAATTTACAACTTCATAAATTCATTAACCATTTTATAAGTCTCAAAACATTATTTACTTAAAAGTAAATATATTTGAGGACGGTGTTACACTTTCATTCCAGTTTTCTCGAAACATCATCTTCGAAACTCTGACACCTCGATAGCCCCAAAGCGGCGATTTAGGAGTGGGCAGACCGTTGGTATGTCTTCTCCCTTGTTCAGACCTATATTGCTCCCCGTCTGCTCGTCACCCGTGCCGCCTCCTAATATGTCTTCGCCCGTGACAATCTCCAGATTGTGGCCTTGATCCACCAACTTCTCCATTGGACTAACACATAAAGCTTCAACGCGTGCTGTATCTTGGAAATCCATGAAGACCCAACCCCTCCCTGCCTGTATATCTCACTTTTCTTTGCGTTGATAATCATCGAAGCACAAGAAGAGAAAAGAACACCCACACGATCGACGGTGAACGGCGGGGAAACAAAACCCTACGTAGAGAACATGGTCGTAGCTCTCTAAACAAATTTGAGGTTTCATTCAAATAAAAGTTGAATGAAGGCATTTTTGTACAACTAGGTGATTTTAAGTCCTATGAAACCTCATTTATTTTTTGGTTCTATTAATGCACATGAATGTACTTTTAGTAGTAGGAATGTTTTTACTTGGACTGTAATATGTCACAGACCAGTTCAGACCAGATTTGGATAGTTATAAAAATACAAAGAGACCATACATTACCAAACCAGACTAGGTCAGATCAAACTAGATCAGATCGGACCAGACCATCAAATTACAGTCCCAAGTAAAAACATTCTAGATAAGTAATTTAGAGCCCGTTTGGTAACATCAAAATCGGCTGTTTTGGCGGATTCTGCTGAAATTTATGAAGTTCTGGCTGATGTGGCTGCATTGACTGATTCTGCTGATTTAAGAAAAAATTATTTTCAAAATATATATTTGTTAATAAAATAAAGAAAAAATTATATGTAAAAATAGCTAAAATGATTATCTACAGTAACTTCAGCCAATACAGCCAGAAAAGTAGCTCCAATCTAACTTTTTCTGCTTATTATACAATTCAGCGCGCGAAAGCAAAAGTTACGTGTTTGGTGAAAAAGTTGGCTGATAAGCCTGATAAGCTGAAAAACAGTGTTTTCAAACGGCCTCTTACTCTTTAAATTCAATTGAGAGGGCGTAAGTCGGCTGTACTTGGTTATAAATTACATCCTCCAACCGGCTATACCTGAGCATGGTATAGCCGGGTATTTTTGTAATATATTTGAAGTACACGCCTCTCATTTACGTAACGTGCTAGCACGGTCTCACCTTTTTCTTCTTGCGTCATTCTTGTTTTATCTGCAGCCATTGCTCCCGGCTCCTGCCCATAAGCCTTTGGTCCTGCTTTACATTTCTTTTCTTTTCGTTGGTTTGAGTGTTTGACATGTTACGTTTTTTTGCCTTTTTCTGTTTGTTTATTTTAATTGTTGCTTTTCGTTTTTTATTTTTTCTTTAACAATCTTTTACTTTTATCTTTTTATTCAATTATTATGGAAATGTATTGTATAAAATATTATTTAATGTTAGAGATTGTTTTTTTCTTTTTTAATTTGTTTTTAATTAATGTTTGTTTTTTCTATTTTCAATTTTAAGATGAATATTTATTAATTTATTAAATATTGTGTGTTAATTACTAACGTGAGTTTTCTGTTATACTAAAATGCGTATAGTGTGAATAAAATATGCATGGGTAAAACATTATAAAAGAACCCAATTATATTTGTACTTCGAGAACGAAAGATTATAAATTATTTGTGTTATACTAAAATGAATATAGTGTAAAATAAATATGCCTGGGTAAGACATTATAAAAGAATTCGATTATATTTGTAATTCAAGAACGAAAGCTTATAAATTATTTTTAATATAAACTACTATATTTGTCATTATATGTGCACAAATGAACATTTGAACACATTATTAGAGAATTCAAATGAGCTTTTGAATTTTTCGATACTCATTTTGTGAGTTACGTATGTTCATCTGATACTGGTTTTATGCTCAATTTAAAATGTCATATTAATGTAAATATTGAAAGTATCATTTAAGATTCGCATAAGAGTTAGATTATATACATTGGAACAGAGACCATGATACTCAATTCACTATTCTGATACTCAATAGAAGAAGTTTTGATGTTCAACGAAAATTTCTTGATACTCAACTAAGAAAACTTATAATTTTCATATCATTGCTCATTTGGAAAGCAATATATGCTCATTTTGTACTGATGTTATGCTCATTTTAACATATTATATAAATGCTTATTTCTAAAGTACCATATAAAATTACATTCACTTAGGAGTTTATTGTAGACATAGGAGCACAGACCATGATACTCAATTACATATTTCTAATACTCAATAGAGAATGTTTGATGCTCAATAAAAATTTCCTGAAGTTCGACTAAAAAACTTATGGTTTTCATATTAATGCTCATTTTGTAAGTAACTTAAGCTCAATTGATACTCATGTTATGCTCATTTTTAAAATGTCATATCAATGCATATTTCAAAAGTTGCATATTAAATTAGATTCGCATATTGAAGTTCATATGAATTGATTATAGATAAAATTTAATAAGTTCTAAAAAAAAGGAAAAATAAGAAAAAGAAAGTGATTCGAATATGTAAATAGATCACGATACTCACTGTTAGGCTTCCAATGCTCAACAAAACATGTCTGATGCTCACTAAATTGCATGATCCTAATACTCAATAGAGGAGGTTTGATGCTCAACTAACAAAACTTACGATTTTCATATCATTGCTCATTTGTACGTTACATATGCTCATTTGGTACTGATGTGCTCATTTTTAAAATGTCATTACAATGCATATTTCAAAAGTACCATATTACATTAGATTCGCATATTCATAGGAATTGATTATAGATATAATTTAATGAGATTTATAAAATAAAAAATAAGATAAAAAAGTGAATTACAATATATGAAGTTGATATCACAATACTCATTATTTGACTCTTAATGCTCAGTAGAATACGTCTGATGTTCATTAAAAGCGTATTAATGCTCATATAACGAAAACCACGATTTTCACTGAAATTACGAAAATGCCACCGTTTTTTAGTTGTGGTATCATCTTTCTTGTAATAACACAATTCTCATTATTAAATGCTTAATACTCACTAAAATTGTACTATTACTCACTAACAGTACACTAATGCTCATTTAGCAGAAACCGCAATTTTCACATTAATTACAAAAATACCGAATTATTTTGCTAGATTTCTCTTGAGCTTGTTACTGGGCTGGCTGTACGGGACTTACTCTCCAGCCGGATGCACAATATACTTACTGGTACTTGTTGTTTCCCACTACTAGCTAGGTTTCTTTATGCGGACCAGACTATAAAAGTAGAAATGTATCATCTCACGGCTTGAATCGGCTGGCTGATCTCACGCGTTTGAAGAAAGTAATACCTTTTCTCCATTTCAAACCTTCACACTGACAAACATATCAAGTTCCGTCTTTGACTTGCTCATGACAATATTACTCCGTATATCATTGCAAACCTCTCCTTCTCTTCTGGGTTTTCCCCAGTTTCGAAAAGAACTCTTTTTGCAATGTTCAGACCTGAGATTAGGGACGATGTGGCTCTCATCCCTGTGGTCGGGGAAGCCTTCTGCTTCCCTTACCTGGTAGACTTGATTGTTAAGAAGGGGTTTTACGGCGTCGCTGATTTGAAGTTTGATGTCTCCGATGGTAGTGGGACCCCTCTCCTCAGAGTCCACGGGAAGCTCTGGCATTTGTTGCAGAAGAAGCGAACCGTTTATGACCCCTCCGGCATCCCAATCCTCACCATGCGCGCAAAGGTACTGTCTTTTGTGAACTATGATTTTGGTTCAGAACTGAAACATCTAATATGGGATTGCTTTGGATTGTGATAACATCTCGGAATTGAATTATCTGATATGGGTTTGCTTTGATTTTGGATAAACCTTGCTTGGAAATGATTGGGAAAATGAGGGGTTTAGTGGATTATTGGCAGATTTTTAATTGTTTTATTTAACCGAAGTCTTTTGTTTGTGATCAAGTTATCTTTTCTGTTGTTATGTTCTTAATGTATTGGGAATTCTTGTTATTCATGGAAACCCCAAGCCCCACACTTCCATCCGCCATTCCCCTGGGTCAGTATGGATGAAATGCGTTTGAGGGTTAGTGACTTGGTGTATATCCTTATAAACTCGGTTCCAAACATATCAATTCTACTTTATTCCTCGGAATTGCAACTCTATTCAATCAAGACCTTAATGGTTCTAGTTATAGGGGATTCCTTCATTTCTGATAATAGTGATGGCTATGATTGGATTTAAAAAGTAAAATTCCAAAATTGGAGGCATGTGATTCATCCTTTATTCCTTTATATTGTTAAACTGGATTGGAACATAACCTTTGCTAGGACGGATCTTGGATTGGATTAGATCATACGAGTATGGCTTTGGAGAGAGCAAAGAGGAGAGCTAATATTGATTTGGCGGATTGATCTCTTATCATCTTTTTCCCCTTTTATCTTCTTTATCTTTCTTATGTTTTTTATCCTTTTATCTTTTTTGATATATATATATATTTATATATTTTTTATCCTTTTATCTTATCATTTTTACGTATATGTTATCTCTATTTTATCTTTTTTTTTTTTAAATTGATCATAGCTTATCTTTTTATCTTTCTTTTCCTTTTGGCTCCGATAACATGTATCGGTTCATGTTAGGCGATCCCAAAATCTTTTGGGACTAAGGCTTAGATGTTGTTGTTGTTGAACCTTTTTTAGAACGGAATTATTAAATTACTATTTCGATTGAGTCATTCCTTCATTGATTGAGAATGAAATGAAAAAGGTTCAATCCTCCATTGAAAGTAGTGATTGGTCTTTTTGTAGTAAATAATGGTACATAAGTACAATGCACTATAAGCTGGATGCTAACTGACCAATTATTAATCTGCAGACTTTTGCATTGAGAAATGTTTGGCAAATTTACAAAGGAGTGAGTTCATATGAAAACGATCTGCTATACACCGTTCAAGAATCTAAAGTCATTCAAATGAAAATCAGACTTGATGTGTTCATGGCTGGCAACCGGGGAGAGATCTGCAATTTCCATGTTAAGGGCTCCTACACTTCTCAGAACTTCAAAGTCTACAAAGGGGATGATTTGATTGCTGAGGTAATGCATTACTTCCCTTTGCCACCATCCTTTTTTTAAAATTGACCTCACCTAATCCGGTCTATGTTCCACACGAGTACACGACCCTGCCTAGGAAGTGTAGCACCTGATGAAGCTAGAAGGGGCCTAGTGCTATTTCATAGACTAGGAAATACTAATAGCCTTGTTTGTGGTGCAACAACAATGCAGGTGAAGAAGAAGATGAACATAGGTAACTTCTTTAAAGGCGTAGAGAGTTTTGACGTGAGAGTCTTCGCTGGCGTTGATTATGCTTTTGTTGTCTCGCTATTAGTTGTTCTAAATGCCATTGAAGGAGGATCCTAAACTCTTTATTTGTATAAATTTATATCTTTTTGGTGCGTAATTATAGCCATCACCAGTTTTGCATACCCCCTCCCCTTTTGTGTTTTAAAAAAAAATTATAGCCATCACCAGTTTTATATATTGTTGCATGCAAGCTGTGTGTGTAGCTAAAGTGAAATAAGGGCATTTTTGCTGTTTTCATCTGATCAAGAGTTAAAGCATGGATTGCTACATTGTTGTTTTCATTCTGTGAGCATACACCAATTTTGGGTGGGGTTCAACTCCAATGGTCATGAGTAAAGAATTGTGGAATATCTTACTTCTGTACATTATAAACAAGTGGGCAATCAATAATTTGGATGTTCCTCATTCAAGAGATAAATTTGATAGGATTATGGTAAAGCTATGTGTAGTTTTATTTTATTTAATAAAAATTGGCAAATGTTGAGATAATACCGGGTCCAAAAAAAGAAAAAAAAAACTGTGGGTGTTGAAACTTGAAAGGTGCAAAGTCAACTATTTGCAAGACTATGTTTCAAATCAAGGTAAGAATATGAAACTTATGTATAGAGACTTTCCAGCCCAGTTTGTTCTTACCGCTTGACGATTGTGACTTTCTTAATATCCCGAAACCATTGTTGTTATAGACGTCCATCAATAGATTCAAATATTCGCTCTATTAATAGAAAAACAATCTGTTTATTTTGTCAATTCAGTCTCTTTATAACTTTGTAATTGTTAATACATTCACTTTGTATATACTTTTTATGTACAATAGTTCAATATATAGACTCTTTATTTTTTTAAATAACTCTTTTGACTAAATATTTTTACAAATAATTACTAGTATACCTTTAAAACCACTTGTTTTGTTATGCAAAATGAACTTGGAGAATATTTAGTTCTTAAAGTTTTCTAGTTATTACAAAAATCTGTAAATGAACAAATTTGTTGTTTAAACCTATCCAATACCCATATGTTATAGAAATTTCAGACCTAAACCAAGCATTCCAACTCAGCTGGTTGTGAGGTTACCGTGTCTAGTGGGAGGTATCGAGTTCGAAACTTGCTAGGCACATAAGGATTCGAAACTCAATGGAATGAGTTTCAGCCCTAATTACTCCAGGCTCCCCAGCTGGTTGTGAGGTTACCGCGTCTAGTGGGAGGTCTCGAGTTCGAAACCTGCTAGGCACATAATGGTTCGAAACTCAATAGAATGAGTTTCAGCCCTAATTACCCCATGCCTTCCCAGATCCCCTTGGAGTAAAAAAAAACAGAAATTTCAGACCTATTTTTAAAATAATAACAGCACCAATTTTGTGTAAAACCATTTTTAACATTTTTTGTAAAACCAATTGCTTACATTTTTTACCATTAGAAAGTTATGATCCAAGCGTCCAGCACACAAAAAACCATATGCATGGTAATTATTGTTTGTACACAAAATTTATACATAAATTGTACATGTTTGTACAAAATATTGGTAGACAATTCTGTCCTTTCTTAAACCAACTACTTGTGTACACAAGTAACTAGGAGGATATGTCTACAATTTATGTACTATATTTGTGTAAAAATGTAATTTCCCTTCTTTTATTGATAATTCATGTGATCATGTGTTGGTATTTGCGCTCCCATATTACTTCTTTTCATTTACTGGTGCTCCCATATTACTTTATTTTTGAACTAGCTTCAAAGAATCAAAGTCTTTAGACCGTTAAATTCAGATTTGATCAAATTCAGCTTACATCACCCGTAAATATCATAATCACACTCATACTCGCTAAAAGATGAATCCAACCACTTACATCACCCGTAAATATCATAATCACACTCATACTCGCTCCCACTTCACAAACATGCTACCTCTATGATCATAACCTCTCTCTTCAGTCATTGAACTTCTATGTTAAGATAGAAAACCCATTGAGAGTGATACCTCCCGCAATTCCTTTGATGGGAATTAAATTCAAGACTTCTTCATGGACGACCACCCACGTTACCTTGCCCTACTTTTTCCTATTTCAAAATTACAATCATCCGTCTGACCATCCCAGCCGTGTGAGCCGCACATGAATGAATACAGGTGGGGCCTAGCTATTGACTTCTAAATTTCAACTTTAACATCCCAAATAGATGGATCGTTCGTGGTGAATAGATACCCTCTTAGTCTCAAATTGAGTTGCAAATTTGATTTCTTTGGGTCAAATAGTTCCATTTTATTCACTTTATTAGAATATCATGTAAGATGTTAGAGACAGTTTCTTAATTTATTTTTGGAAACATGTTTCTTAATTTATTTTAGGAAACACATCCTAGTTGTCCTGGGGTTAGAATTTACTTCTATATAAATACAAGTTCTCTCCCTTGTAATCATTGTGTGTGGATCCGAAAATAGCAATAATATTCCTGGCTTGGTAGCGCCCCCAGACGTAGTCATTCGTGGCGAACTGGGTTACCAAATTTCGCGTGTTCTTCGTTATTGATTTTCGTGTGCGTGAATTAAATTCTTAACAATTGGTATAAGAGCCCTAGGTTCGAAGGGTGACCTCACGATGGCAGACAATTTGAAGACACCGGTGATGCAGTTTGACGGAACGGATTACAGATTCTGGAAGTTGCAGATCGAAGATTACCTGTATGGTAAAGATCTGTATCAATCTCTGGATGATAAGCCGGAAGACATGAAGGAGAGCGATTGGAAGTTGCTGGACAGAAAAGCGTTGAGCGTGGTGTGATTATCGCTGTCCAGAAACATCGCCCTACACATCGTCAAAGCAAAAACGACGAAGGAGATGTTGCAGATTTTATCGGATATGTACGAGAAAGCTTCTGCTGTGAACAAAGTTCATCTGATGAGGCGTCTTTTTAACCCAAAGATGTCAGAAGGTACAGGAGTGGTGGATCATCTCAACGAGTTCAATGCGATCACCACACAGCTGAGTGTGCTTGAGATAAAATTCGACGACGAAATTCATGCCCTTATTTTGCTGTCTTCTCTCCCAGAAAGCTGGAACGGAACGGTGACTGCAGTCAGCGCTTCAGCAGGGAAGGAGAAACTGAAATTCGATGAAGTCAGAAATCTGGTGGTCAGCGAAGAAATTCGCAGGAAGGAATCAGGTTTGGCTTCTGGATCGGCGTTGAGTACAGAGAACCGGGGCAGAACAAAGTCGAAGTCTAAGTCAAATCGGGATAGATCAAGATCCAAATCCAAATCAAACAGCAAGGGCAAGAAGGACAGAAGTCAGATCAAGTGCTGGAACTGTGAGGAGTACGGACACTTCAAGAGCCAGTGCAAGGAGCAGATCAAGGATCAGAAGTATAAGACATCTGCCAATGCAGCGGCAGAATCATCTGGCGATGATCTCCTGATCCTGAGCGTGAGCAGTCCGTTGGAGTCATGGATTTTGGATTCTGGAGCCTCGTTCCATTCATGTGGTAATTCTGAAGTGATGGAACAATATACTCCCAGCAATTTTGGAGAGGTGTATCTTGCTGATGATGAGCCCCTTAAAATTGTCGGGAAGGGGACAGTCCACGTGAAGACTCCGAATAGATGCATGCTGAAAATGAATGGTGTCCGACACATTCCTGGTTTGAGGAGGAATCTTCTTTCAATTGGGCAGCTGGATGAGGAAGGTTATGCAGTTACATTCGGCAGCAGAAATTGGAAGATCACCAAGGGAGCCTTGCTGGTTGCTAAAGGGAAGAATGAGAGTATGTTGTACATGACAACGAACTCGAAGGACTGCATCGATGTTGTTGCCGCTGCAACAAACGATGTAAATTTGTGGCAGTCGGCTCGGTCACATGAGCGAAAAGGGGATGAAGGAGCTGTACTCGAAGGGCAAACTGCCCGGCCCTAAGACTGTTGGGGTTGGCTTATGCGAGGACTGCATATTCGGGAAGCAGAAACGTGTCAGTTTCTCAAAGGGAAGACGAGCTATCAAACCGGAGAAGCTGGAACTAGTTCACACCGACCTTTGGGGACTTGCTGAAGTTACATCCTTGGGAGGATCCACTTACTACATGACCTTTATTGATGATGCTACAAGAAAGGTGTGGGTTTATTTTCTCAAAAATAAATCCGATGCCTTTGATTCTTTCAAGAGGTGGAAAGCTCGTGTTGAGACAGAGACAGGTCTGAAGTTGAAGTGCCTTCGATCAGATAATGGAGGTGAGTATGAACTGCATGAGTTCAAGAATTTTTGTGCTGAGAATGGGGTTCGTATGGAGAAGACAAAAAAGGGGACTCCGCAACATAATGGTGTTGTTGAACGCATGAACAGAACACTTAATGAGCGGGCAAGATGCTTGAGGTTGAAGAGTGGCTTACCGAAGATGTTTTGGGCAGATGCAGTGAACACTGCGGCTTTTCTCATCAACAGAAGTCCAACGATCTCGTTGGAGAATGGCATTCGTGAAGAAAGGTGGACGGGTAAGGAGGTCCATCTGTCCTATCTCCGCATATTTGGTTGGGTTGCTTATGTTCATATCAGTTCCGTTGACCGAAGCAAGCTAGACGCTAAATCTGTGAAGTGTACGTTCGTTGGCTATGGTGGTGATGACTATGGACACAGATTCTGGGATGATCAGAATAGGAAGATTATTCGAAGTCGAGATGTGGTGTTCAATGAGTAGGTTTTGTACAAGGACAGATTGAGTGAATCTGATTCTGAGCAAGAAACTCCGAAGATCATAGAGTTGGATATCTCTAATTCGGGTGGGAGCAAGCAGGATTAGAATAAAGAGTTGAGCAGTGATGAGGATCCATCAACCCCGCCAAGGCAGCGTCCTGCCAGAAACCGGAGAGAACCAAATAGGTATTCGCCCTCTAATTTCTATTTGTTGCTTATTGATGGTGGTGAACCGGAGTCCTATGCAGAGACAGTTCGGGTTGATGACAAGGGCAAGTTGAAACTTGCAATGGATGATGAGATGACATCTCTCACATCCAATGATACTTGGAGGTTAGTTGAGCTACCAAGAGGAAAGAAGGCTTTGCACTGCAAGTGGGTCTACCGCATCAAGAAGGAGGCAGATGGTAGCAAACGCTACAAAGCTAGGCTGGTTGTGAAGGGGTTTGAGCAACGTTATGGTATTGATTACACCGACATATTCTCTCCAGTTGTGAAACTTACTACTATTCGGTTAGTGTTGGGGTTAGTTGCTGCAGAGAATTTGTTGTTACATCAGATGGATGTGAAGACTGCATTCCTTCATGGTGATCTGAATGATGAGATTTACATGGTACAACTTGAGGGCTATGTGGCGGAAGGCAGTGAGAATCTTGTATGTAAGCTAATGAAGAGCTTATACGAGTTGAAACAAACACCGAAGCAGGG